GTCCCCGTGTCCCCCCGTGTCCGTACCCGGATCCCGGCCGTCCGGCACTTGCGCACGGCCTGGGGCACGGTGGCCCGGGGCGGGTCGATGAGGGACACGAGCCCCGCGAAGCAGAGCCCGGTGGCCACCTCGGCCAGCGCCTCGGGCGGCGTCCCCGCGGCCACCGTGCCGGCGGGCAGCCAGCGGGCGCAGAACCCTGGGGACAGCGGGGACATTGGGGACATCGGGGGGATTGGGGACATTGGGGGGATTGGGGACATTGGGGACATCGGGGACAATGGGGACATTGGGGACATTGGGGACATTGGGGACATCAATGGGGATGTCAATGGTCACCGTGCCGGCGGGCAGCCAGCGGGCGCAGAACCCTGGGGACAGCGGTGGGGACATTGGGGACATTGGGGGGATTGGGGACATTGGAGACATTGGGGACATCGGGGGGATTGGGGACATTGGGGACATTGGGGACATCAATGGGGACATTGGGGACATTGGGGACATCAATGGTCACCGTGCCGGCGGGCAGCCAATGGGCACAGAGCCCTGGGGACATCATTGGGGACATTGGGGACATTGGGGACATCGGGGACATTGGGGACAATGGGGACATTGGGGACATTGTGGACAATGGGGACATCAATGGGGACATTGGGGACATCGGGGGGATTGGGGACATTGGGGGGATTGGGAACATTGGGGACACTGGAGACATCAATGGGGACATCAAGGGGGACACTGGGGACATTGAGGCCATTTTGAGGCCATTTTGGGGCCATTTTGAGGCCATTTTGGCACCATTTTGGCACCATTTTGAGGCCATTTTGGTTCCATTTTGGCACCATTTTGGGGCCATTTTGTGGCCATTTTGAGGCCAGTTTGGCGCCATTTTGTGGCCATTTTGGGGTCATTTTGGTGCCATTTTGAGGCCATGTTGGTTCCATTTTGGCGCCATTTTGAGGCCATTTTGGCGCCATTTTGGAGCCATTTTGAGGCCATTTTGGCGCCATTTTGCGGCCATTTTTGGGCTATTTTGAAGCCATTTTTGCGCCATTTTGGCACCATTTTGAGGCCATTTGGGGGCCATTTTGGTTCCATTTTGGGGCCATTTTGGCACCATTTTGTGGCCATTTTGAGGCCATTTTGGGGCCATTTTGATGCCATTTTGGCGCCATTTTGGGGCCATTTTGGCGCCATTTTGGTTCCATTTTTGGACCACATTGAGGCCATTTTGTGGCCATTTTGAGGCCATTTTGGCGCCATTTTGTGGCCATTTTGGTTCCATTTTGGGGCCATTTTGGTTCCATTTTGGGACCACATTGAGGCCATTTTGAGGCCATTTTGGGGCCATTTTGTGGCCATTTTGGTTCCATTTTGGCGCCATTTTGAGGCCATTTTGTTTCCATTTTGGCGCCATTTTGTGGCCATTTTGTGGCCATTTTGCGGCCATTTTGGTTCCATTTTGGGACCACATTGAGGCCATTTTGAGGCCATTTTGGGGCCATTTTGCGGCCATTTTGATGCCATTTTGGCGCCATTTTGGGGCCATTCATGGGGATTTGGGGACCCTGAGGGGTCCCAGCGCAAGGCGGGGGGAGGGGTCGGGCGCCCATTCCCCTCCCCCACCCCAGCCCCTCCCCCACTCACCCAGCACCCTCTCGCCCCGCCCCCCCAGCTCCAGACACGCCCCCTCCAGGCTCCGCCTCCACTCGGGGTCCAGCGGCCGCTCCTCCCCCGCCCGCAGGTAACCCCGGCAGCGCTCCAGGACCCGCTCGGGGGCGCCCTTGAGCACCAGCAGCTGCTGCGGGCCCGCCTCGTGCACCGACACCTGCGGGGCACAGGTGAGACACACCTGAGACACGCCTGAGACACACCTGGGGTACAGCTGAGACACACCTGAGACACACCTGGAGTACACCTGAGACACACCTGAGACACCTGAGATACTCCTGAGATACACCTGAGACAGGTGAGACACACCCGGGACAGGTGAGACACACCTGAGATACACCTGAGATACACCTGAGACACCTGAGACACACCTGAGACAGGTGAGACACACCCGGGACAGGTGAGACACACCTGAGATACACCTGGGGTACACCTGAGATACACCTGAGACACCTGAGATACCTGAGACACACCTGAGACAGGTGAGACACACCTGGGACAGGTGAGACACACCTGAGACACCTGAGATACACCTGAGATACACNACACCTGAGATACCTGAGACACACCTGAGACAGGTGAGACACACCTGGGACAGGTGAGACACACCTGAGACACCTGAGATACACCTGAGATACACCTGGGATACACCTGGGATACACCTGGGATACACCTCTATTACACTTTCGGCACACCTGTCCCACCTGTCCCACCTGTGGGGTCCCACCTGTCCCACCTGTGGGGTCTCACCTGTCAGGTCTCACCTGTCCCACCTGTGGGGTCCCACCTGTCCCACCTGTCCCACCTGTCCATATCTCACCTGTCCCACCTGTGGGCGCTCACCTGTCCCACCTGTGGGCTCCCACCTGTCTCACCTGTCCCACCTGCGGGGTCACACCTATCCATATCTCACCTGTCCCACCTGTGGGATCTCACCTGTGGGGTCTCACCTGACCATATCTCACCTGTCCCACCTGTCCCACCTGTGGGGTCCCACCTGTCCATATCTCACCTGTCCCACCTGTGGGGTCTCACCTGTCCATATCTCACCTGTCCCACTTGTCCCACCTGTGGGGTCCTACCTGTGGGGTCCCACCTGTCCCACCTGTCCCACCTGTCCCACCTGTCCCACCTGTGGGGTCTCACCTGTCCATATCTCACCTGTCCCACCTGTCCCAGCTGTGGGCTCCCACCTGTCCATATCTCACCTGTCCCACCTGTCCCACCTGTCCCACCTGTCCCACCTGTGGGCTCCCACCTGGAATTTGTTGCTGGAGTTGAAGGGCAGCTCCGCCACCTTCGGGAAGCGCCCCCTGGCGGCCGCCACCGGCCCCGACGTCACCTCCGCGAATTTCAGCAGCGCCGACTCCGACGCGTCACCGATGACGTCACGCTGGGGGCGGGGCCGCGGTGAGGACACGCCCACCCCCC